ATTTTAGTGCATTTATTCTGTTTGATTTTTTTTGTAAAGTAAGTTTGAAAACAGTACTCGGTGGTTAGATAAAAATTCATCTATTTTTTAGCTCAGTAAATCTATATTAATGAAATTTGTAGACACTGATGAATCAATATGACATTTGGTGGCAGCATACAGTACAGGAGTTGTGTCTGGCGTTTATTTAAATCTTTTGTATCAGAAGAACTCCTGGTGCACAAATGGCCTGTAGAATTTCTCTAATGAAGTTTCTACTATTCTGAACTCTTCATTGTCTCCCTTTCTAAAATTTGGATAAACACATGCATGCAGCATTTCTAGATGGCAGTTGATCATTTCTCTCTAAAATATTTTAAACTTTCTAAGAGTTTCCATAACACCTCTCTTCCCATGCTAATCTTCACATTAGCACTTCTTGATTCCATATGCGTTTATTAAAATTGACTCGGGAAGATATTTTCCTGACTTAAGAATAAAAGGGATTTAGGGGGAAAAGTACCTAAATTGTGATTCAGGACTCGTGAATCCTTATGTTGGCTTAGCAACTCAGGGTTGGCTACATGATATTTCCTGGAGTTAGTTGTAGGTAACAGAAATGACAAGTGGCAGCTTATATATGCCCTAACAAGAAAGCTGGAAATTGGAAGATGTGGCAAGCTGAATGATGCCATCCAGAACCAAGTTCTGTTTCCCTCCATTCCATATCCCTTAGCATACAGCACCTTTATACTCATGGTTATAGATTTGTTAGAAAATGCTTCTCTGCAGCTTCTGAGTCCACAGCCATGCAGGCAGGACAAACAGAAAAGGGAGGTACGACCATGTCCCACTTTACCACAAAAGCAAAATATTACAAGAAACTCTCCCAAGCAGTTGCCACTATCTTGTAACCACTCATAGTTTCAAGGGGCACTGGGCAAACAATTGAGTACTTTCACCTTGTAGAGCAAGGAAGGAGGTCTTGGGAAGACATCAGCCCTAGACAATTTATGTTCTTTCAGAGATAAGTTTCCTCAGCTGGTCATCATATCATTCAAGTGATATGTTTAACCAGAATTTAGATGTTCTCTGGGATTCCCTTTGATCAAAATCTGGAGTCACAAACTGATCTGTGAATCACTTGGAAATCTTGTTAAAATGAACTTCAGGTGGTGGCTGTGTGGAACTAGAGAATCTGCATTTCCAACAGGCTTCCAAACAGTCATGGTGCTGGCTGGGCCACACTTGGTTTGCAAGCTTCTAAGGCTCTGAATCTTTAAATATACTTATGCTTTTCCAGATTAAGACAGAGAAAATCAAATTGTCTAAAATGACTTTGAACTGACATTTTCTCTCTGTCAACAGTGTATTCATTCCTACGGGGATTTGGGGCTTTTTTTTTTTTTGCTTTTGTAAATATAGAAGAAGTATAGCAGCTATTTCCTCAGAATTTGGGATACTATAAGAATTATAAAGAGAGAAATAGGCTACAGTAAAGAACTAATTTAAGCCATACAATAGTACTAGGTGAGTCTTTCTGTCTACTAAAAATCTGAGAGTTAGAGACTTGATGAGGTTAAACTTCCTTCCCTCCCTCCCTCCCTCCCTCCCTCCCTCCCTTCTTTCCTTCCTCTCCTTCCCTCACTCGCTCCCTCCCCTCCCTCCTTCCCTCCCTCCCTCCTTCCCTCCCTCCCACCTTTCCTTTCTTCTGTTCATAGTAGGGTTTCATGCATACAGTGTTCCAAGATCACATGCTCCACCAGAGTGCCCCCTTCCTTCTACCAGTGTTTCACTGTCACCTTTCAAGAAGTTAGGTTTTTTTAAGACCATCCATCCAGTGGGTATATGAGAGTTTCCATTCAGGTCCAGATCTGTGTTTTAAATTCCAGTTTCTCATGCTGACTCTTCCAGGTCCCAACATGTGAGAGAGAGGACAGGACCATAATCAGCACTGGAGGGATGATTTGTGGGCTGTTCTGTGTGGGCTGTTCATATTCCTTTTGCCTTCAGGTAAGTTCTTCTGACATATCTTATCTCTGAAGCCCATAAACGATGACCTCTCTCTGGACTTCAGCTGGGTCTTTCCAAAGGGAAGAAATAACCTGCAAGACAGAGATAGAGATTAGAATATTCATGTATCTCCTTTTTCCCATTCCTTGAGATAGGATCACAACTTTAAGGCCATGATTGGTTTCTAGTAACTGTCATCCTTGTCCCCCTAAATTCTAGTAGGTAAAGGCTGGGCTGTCCTCTCTAGTCCTGCTATACCTCACCATTCCTTGTATTTTTTCAGACATAGCCTCTGTAGATAATTCCTTTGATTGCCTTTTTGAGATTGTTTCCTGATGATCTCCAGGCTTGCCTCCTGAAAGTGTTAACACAAAGGGATTTAGCAATAGAAAGTTTAAGAATCTGCAACATCAGACTTGGGGAAGCTGTATAGAGGCAGTGAGTTTGTGACAGGGGATAGATTCGTAGAGTAAATGGAGAGAAGCTATTGAGGACAGCATTGGACAAAGACAGGGATTAAAGGGATATAGGGATTCTCCTGAGTACTTGGCATGATCCATTAATGTCACTAACAAAATTAATATTCATTCCTTAATAGCAAGTCATACCTAGGCCATATTTAGATATCTAATCTGGCACAGTCCTTTATTCTCCTCTTGCCTTTTCTCTGCTGGTGTTGTTGCAATGATCAGGATTTGCACACATCTTGGTTGTGGGTCTTGTACATTTAGTGCTGCTACTTGCTGGGGATCATACATCAAGTTGTGTTGCTCACACACTCACCCATGATGTTTTCCCAGTGTGGTGCTCCTTTAGTTGTGGGGCTCATGTATAATTTGATTATATGCTGAACTGCACACACATGTAGAAGTTCCTGATCTCAGTGTTGCTGGCATTTGTACCCTTTAGTTGCTGGGCTGCTGTGCACTTGGAGGTTGCTAATGATGCCCGGAAGCACAGAGCTGCCAAGTACAAACAGTAGAGCTTCCAAGACCTTACTCTGTGCATGTGGCAGTATTGGGTCTCGAACTCATACCCTTAACTCTTGCAAGGTGGTTGACTTAGTAACTGAGTCATATCTTGACTCTAGACACAGTTGTTTTGTAGTTGAATTGACTGAATCAAGACTACAACATAGTGGAGAGTGTAAGAAAGAGAAACCAGCTACAAAGGGTCCTGTTTACAGTTCTTTTAGTCCAGGAATTTCTTTGCATTTCACATGATGACTCAACTTTCCGATAAAGTACCCTCTAACATTTGTGGTTTTGACTGTCTGGAAACAACTCCAGATGTCCATGGCATTTAGAAATGTCTGCTGAGGCACAACTATGAATCCTTAGCACTTCTGGGGCTGTGTCTGGGAGGAAGTTGCTCAGCTAGAGAGAGCATCTCTAAGAACTGCCACTGTGTTTCTCAATAATGTCTTCTTCTTGTCTCCTGTTCCTGATTTTTCAGATTGTTATGATTAAAAAAATTGAAATTATACATAGGGTTTTTGACTTTTTTTGTAATTTAGGAAAGATATCCTATTATTATTTTCTATATGTAAAAAAAGACTGTTGTGAGTGTGCAACAGTGGGAGGCTAAGAGGGAGTTGAACGATACCCAGCAGTGCTCAAAGGTTATTCTGTATTCTCAGGAATCATATGTCATGCTGTGGGAATTGAATCAGGGTCATAGCCAAAGCAGCATTAGGTCTGGCAAGCTCCTTGCCTCATGTACTACCCCTCCAGCCCAGGAAGACTTTTTAGGATTTAAAGGACAGGGCTGGCATTATTTCAGAATAAAAGGGCATGTATCTCAGGAAATAATAGTAGTCACTCTCAAGTTTCTATAGATATTTCCACGGTTCTGGTTTTCTTATTTTGCAATAGGTACGTATTCTGTCACAATTTGGTATTTGGGAAGCATTCCTCTACTCAAGATTGACTGGATAATCAAATTATAAAAATTGTCATTTTTTAAAAAATAGCCATTGACTGGGAAACTGAATCTTTAGTGAATGTTGAAAATTAAGTTAACTTGCAATGTGGACATAGGAACAGGAGTGAGGTGCCTTTCCCTCCCATCTTTAAACAAACTGTGAATTGAGGTTGTAGTGAGAGCAAGTATAAATATTTCCACATTCCCCTATGGAACTGGGCTTGGATAAAGGGAAGTTAAGAATTATTTAGTTTATGAATAATTAGTTCTCTAACTAAACTTCATCTTGATTCCCAAGAATTCTTGCTGACTTTGCTCAGATTTTCCAAACCTACTTTCCCATCCTTAATCCCATTCCTCATACTTGTCATCTGTTTTATGAAATCATAGACCTTTCATATTCCTGAAACCTCTCCCACAACCTCCCATTAGTGCTAAAGCATGACACTTACCTCTCTCTCTCTCTCTCTCTCTCTCTCTCTTTCTCTCTCTCTCTGACTTCTTTCTTTGCCCTCTGAGCTTCACACCTATCTAACCAGTTGCTGTTGGATACTTTACTTGAGTGTCTTATTTTTTAAAAATTTTTATTTTATTTTATTTTTGCTTTTTGTGCCACACCCAGGGATGCACAGGGGTTACTCCTGGCTCTGTACTCAGGAATTACTCTTAGTGGTGCTGAGGGGACCATATGGGATGCTGGGAACTGAACCTGGGTCAGCCGCGTGCAAGGCAAATGCCCTATCTGCTGTGCTATCGCTCCAGCCCCACATGAGTGTCTTAAAGAGAAGCTCTGTCTCTGCTTCCTCAAACTCCTCTCTGTTCCACTGCACAAACTAGAAAAAATGAAAAATTGCTCATGCAAGAACATGAGAGATCTCCTTGACACATTCATCGCCCCTCATATACATCTTATTATGTATCCCTGAAACATTTACTTCCAAACATATTTCTAATCTACTTCACTTCCTTCATAACTCTGATCACTGCTATGACCCTAATCTTCGAATACTACCTCCTGCCTGGGGTTATCAGCAATTCCCCCTTTTTTTTTTAAAAAGAAATCTTACTGAGATGATACAGGTGATATACTTACCTGGCAGGGAAGATACCATGATCACAAAAGTAGTTTTCCCAGGGTGTGGCTTATCCATTTACACTCTGGATGTACTGACCCCTGTGATTTCCTTAGAGGTGGGAAACTTGCCTGTATTATTTGTGGTAGTGGGGAGGGGAGGGGTGCATTCACGCTCTGCCCTGATGAGGGGAAAGAGTGTAAATGTTTATAAATTTTAGGGGTATTGTGTCACTGTACCTCACCTAAAACCAAAGTGCCACTGCCTCTTTTCCACAGTTGATTAGACTTTTAGTGTACTTCCTTAGTCTTGGTTATCTGAATTCTAAGGTTTTCATTCATTTAATTTAATCCTTATCTCTACTATAACCTCCATCAATTTATTTTCACCCAGTGACTGGGATAACTGGGATAACTTAAAATAAAAATTGTGTTATGTCATACCTTCAGTCCAAAACTCCGAGTAAATTTGTGACAAAATGAAACAAGGAAAAACCCCAATCTGGTCTAAAAAGGTTTTGTGGTTGCCGATTACCCAATGCTAGCTCATTTCAATACACTTTCCTTTATGCCTTCACATTCAACTGATAAATGGTAGATTTTGTTTCCTTGAACGTTAACTGTGTTGTCCTGATTTAGGACAGGGAACAAATGATGTCTGTTCTGCAGAGAAAGTGCTCTCTGACCTTCCTACTCTTTGCCAGTTCTCTAGTAGACAGTAGGAATTCTGAACATAAACTCTGAACTCTCTCTTCTTAATAAGTACCAACATATAGCATAGTCTTGGGTAGAAAGCAGATATTTGGCAAATTTCATTTGAATGAGAGAGTGTTCCAGTTAATGTTTTAATTCCTCCATTGCAAAGAGAAGTTGAATATGTTTTAAAATTAAAAAGTATAGTTTTGCCTGATCAGCCAAATTAATGTTTATTTAGGCCAGTACTTTATCTTTATACTTAAAATAATGGGCCTTTCTCTAAAATAAATCACATTTTAAGTGGGTGTTATTATGAGGTCTATTTTATTTGAATCACCAAAATTTTCAGGCTTCTTGTAAAACACCTGTGAAAGGTAACCCCTCTATCTTTAATAATTTGCTAAATTTTACCATTTTTGAAGGATAGAGACCTGTAATGCATTAATTTAAAACAATACAAAGTACCTAATTAGTTCTGGTTACTAAAAAAGGCAAAAATCATAAAGATTGTGACCCTTGAATATAAACTTATACATTTACTACAGTTTTAAAAGAGAAGTAGCAGCATATTTATATATTATATCCTTATAATATTTAATACGTTATACGACATTAAGTTTTCTTTAGTTTAATGAAAATAAAATGCTTTCTGGGAACTGTAAGTCCATGTTGAGCTTATTCTTCTTAATTCTCTTTTAGCACACTGTTTTAGTGCCTCACCTTTCAGTATTACTAGCCGATTATCTCTACTTTCCAATTTAGCTTTATACTTGATGCTAATTATTTTCCTATTTGCCTTGTGTGGGCATAATTTTTTCTCTTCAGATATACTATCAACATTGTATAGACAGACATTCCTGTATTTTATTTCTACTTCTATATTTTTTAAAATGTCTGCTTCTATATTCAGGGCAAATAAAGTTACACAACTGTAGCAAAATGTCCAAAATCTCAGAGGTTTATTTTCCATTCCACCTGCATGTCCTTTATGGCCAGCAGGGGGCCCTGTGTTCTCTTAGGGACTCATTTGCTTCCCTGATCAGAACTACAGTGAAATGGGAAACATGGCAAACCACATAGCTGGCTTTTAAGCCTCTGCCAGAATGTACCACATGCCATTGCATATGTGTGTTATTAGACAAAGCAAGTCACATGGCCATGCCTACTTGAAAAATCTGTGGGCAGCTGAAATCCTACTGTGTAGGGAGAAGAAATCAGGGCCACTTGATGTGCTGCACTAATGATTCACATTTGATGCCTACAGTCCTGGCCTGTTCCAGACTTATGGTGGGACTGACATTATGCTTACATGACTGAAGTTTGGAAGTACCTCGGATACTGGTAGACAATGAATAAAGCAATTTTACAGTACATATGCAGCCTCTAGGTTTCAGCTTTCCTTTCAAAATTTAGAAAGCCCTTCAGAATATTTCAAAATAAAGAGCCCATGTACATATTACTTTTATGCAACAAATAGCTGTGGACTGACTAATCTGGTTTTGCATTCTGACCTAGTAAACACTTCTTTCAGAGATTTGAATGGCTGCACTCTTTGGTATATTATTGCATTATTTATTGCATTAACTAGGAGTGGGGTGATAGAATTATGGGCTAGAATAATGGGTTTACTCTAAGGGATCAATGTGTGATTCTTGGGTCTAAACGTCAATTGCATAAACAAGTACACGACAAACCTTTGACCATAGCATGTGTGAAAGATTTCTGGGACTTTCTTTTGGCAGAAATTGTACTGTTATGTTATTCATGAGTAGGATTGGCAACCAAATGAATTGATGGAATATTGGTTTATCCCCATGGGAGCTCAATCACTAGGGCAGAGGGCAAGCTAAAGGACTCTGCTTAAATATTGTACTCTAGAGGTCTGATGTTTGGATGTCACCATTGAATATTACCCAGGGGAATAATAGTGTTACTGATGGAGGATTTTTTCATCCTGAGTGGATTTTTCATCCACTCAAGGAGAGGATGAAAAAAAACTGGCTCATCCTAAAGAATTGATTATATTGTAAAAGTATGGGTCAGGTGAGGCGGTCTTTGAATTATGAGAAGGCTACCAGGCAAAAGAGGAAATGAACTGGCTTGAAAAGAGAGAATAAGGATAAACTAAAGGGACACATTTTTTTAAAAAAAAGTGAACATATATATATATATATATATATATATATATATAAATAGTTAGGATTACATGGTTACAATAGAAATAGTGTTTGTACTTTTAGTGTACAGAGTTACTGCACCTCCAGCATAAAGTACCATGGACCATCTGTAGTCTCTCAGTGTCACTTCTAATCTACCACTTCCTCCATGACCCTCTCCCACCACTTGGTAACCTTAGTTCTGGAGGTCAAGTTCAAGGGTTTGTTATCATTAGGTACTGTTTATTCTCCCTCCCTCTCTTCCTTCCTCCCTTCCTTCTTCCCTCCCTCCCTTCCTCCCTCCCTCCCTCCCTCCTTCCTTCCTACATATCGTTGAGGTCATCAGGTATTTGTCTTCTTCCCTCTGCCTTATTTTGCTTAACATGAAAACCTGCAGCACTGTTCTTTTATTTTTCCTTCTGGTTTTGGTCCATACCCACTGGTGTACAAAGCTCTTCACTCAGGAATTATGCCTGGCAGACTTGGGGACCAAATGGGATGCTGTGATTGAACCTGGGTTAGTCTCATGTAAGACAAGTACTTTTGCTGTACTCGAGAGTACAGCTCCAGTAACTCTATTAGTATTTCAGCAAAAGGCAATTTCATTTTTTCCCTTAGAATCACATTGCATATAGTGATTTTGACTTATAACCAGAAAGATAATCTTATCAAAATTAAAACTTTCTTTTTTCTTACCCCATGAAGGGAATTTATGAATTCAAAGAAGAGAGTGACCAAACATCTCATTTGTCTAAGTTTTTCTAAAACTAGGGACTTTTAGAGCTAAAATCAGAAAAATCCCAGGCAAAGCTGAATGAAGTATTCACCCTATCAAAGAAGTTTGTCCTTAATATTATCTGAAGTTGCTTTTAATTTAGAGATTGTGTGATTTTTTTATGGCATGTTAATTTTCCCAAAAATGTATTAGGCAAAGCAGTGAGTTTAGCACTGAGTTGAGTGGTGATTTTCGGGTTTCTAATCACTGCTGCATCTAATCATGAGGGACCTTTGGGCATTTTTTTCTAGAGTTATATTTAAAATTAAATCATTTCTGGTGGATTTGTGCTTAAAATTACTAATCACAAGCATTCCCCTCAAAGTCTAAAGTCATTTATTACATAAGTGAGCATTTTAGAAAGAAAGATTTGCACCTTTCTTCAGAATCTCAATGGATATATATTTTTTAAGGGCTGGATATATATATATATATATGTATGGATATATATGTGTATATATACACATTTTTACCTTTAATTTTTAATACTAAATGCCAACTTTATTAATTCAATGCTATCTATGAGAATCCAAAGAGGATTTCCCCCCCCATTACCCAACCCTTCCTTCACCACTGTACATTTCCCACCACAATGTCTCCAGTTTCCCTCCTTTCCTCGGTGGCAGATACTTCTCTCTCTCTCTCTCTCTCTCTCTCTCTCTCTCTCTCTCTCTCTCTCTCTCTCTCTCTCTCCTGTTCAGGTATTCCAAATCTTGGTTCAGCCTTGGGAAGTTATAGGAACCCAGGAATTTATCCATTTCTTCAAAGTTCTCTTGTTTTGTGGCATAAGGATTCTCAAAGTAATCTCTGATAATCCTTTGAATTTCTGTCGTTTCTGTTATGATGTCCCTATTTTCATTTCTGATTTGGTTTATTAGGGTTCTCTCGCTTTCTTTCTTAGTCTTACTAGTGGTTTATTGATCTTGTTTATTTTTTCAAAGAACCAGCTCTTGTTTCATTTATCACTTGGATTTTTTTTTAAATTCCAGCTTATTAATTTCTATTCTAAGTTTTATTATTTACTTTCTCCTTCCTGGTTTGGGCTCCTTTTGTTGGTAATTTTCTAAGACCTTACACTGTAAAGTCAAGTTATTTATGTGGGCCCTTTCTTCCCATCTGATGTGTGCCTGCAAAGCTATAAACTTTTCTCTTACAGTCTATCCCACAAGTTCTGGTAGCTCATGTCTCATTTGTTTCCAGGAATCTTTTGATTTCCTCTCTAACCCACTGGTTGTTCAGTAGCAAGCTGTTCAATTTCCAGGTATTTTATTTGATTTTCTGTTTCTGTGTGTGATTAACTTCTAATTTCAGTGCCTCATGGTCTGAAAAGATAGTTGATACAATTTCTATCCTCTTAATTTTATGGAGGTATGTTTTGTGGCCCAACATGTGGTCTATCTTGGAAAATGTCTCATGTGCACCGGAGAAGAATGTGTATTCGGCTTTTGGGGGATGAAAAGCCAGTATATATCTACAAGCCCCTTCTCTTCCATTTTATCCTTCAAAGTCAGTGTTTCCTTGATGAGTTTTAATTTCATTGATCTATCAAGGGATAACA